CACTGGCTTCTGAAATGGCCCAGAAAGCCTTTTTCTTCAAGGGTGATCAGGAATGGGCAGCAAATGCTGGCCTTGCCAGTGACACGGGTGCAAGTTGTCTTGCCATTTCCCATCTAAGAATAAAAGAAATATAAATACAGCTGTGTCCATGAGTAATTAGGTTTATTGTTAAGTGCTTATTTTGTCAAAGCACTCGAGCTCTGGTGGAATTTACGAAAAAACTGCAGCCCTTGAAAAGGTGGAGGATTATTCAAGTTACAGGAAAAAAAGGTATGGAGAAGGTGTGAGCAACAAGATTCCTTAGTTACCATGATATTTGCTGCAACTTAGCTGTTTAGGTAGGGCTTTCCCAGTTTATGGCACAGTGGGAGGCAAGTGAGGTTTATATACCTGTGCCATGTTTGGATCAAGTTGGGGTGTATTGCCAGATCGTGCATTCTGAAAGATTATTATTTTGCACATTTTGCTCTTAAAGATGTTATCTTAAGCAGATAAAATCTGTTTTCTATTATACTATTTAAATTCCTTTACATGATTAGTACAACTTTCATTTCCATGGGAAACTATCCACTCACCCTGTAGAGACACATGCTAATATTTTCTTCAGTTTCTGATTTTGCTTTATATTCTTAGCACGTGCAGTAATTTGCCTTTAGCTTGCACTCGAACTTTTTGAGAGAGTCCCAAGGTATTGGAAATGTTATACAAGTAACTTATCTTTTCGTAGTGCATTTAATATAGTGGAATGTTCTTCAAAGAAGTATCAGCTAAAATTTGACATTATCTAATTTGGACCAGCAACCAAAGCAAAATGAGTCAAAGGTACATTTTAGGTAGCATTTTACAAATAGAAAGTAACAGAGGCTTAAGGAACAAATTCTAGAGGTAAAAACAGGTGGGAGGTGACAGCCTGGCTGCTGCTAATGTGTTGAATGCAGAGATTTCAGAGGGTTATGGCTGAAGGAGGTTACGTAGTGAGAAAGGAGCAAGGCAATGGAAGCTATGAAAATAACGGTAAGAATTAGCAATATTGAGGTTTTGCTGAATCTGAAATCTCTGTAGGTTAGCAGGTATGATAAACAGGAATAAGTGTGAGTTAGGATAAAGACAAGAAATGTTGGATAAGGTCAGTTTTTATGGAAAGTTGAAAATGAGAGACTGATCAGGAAAGCAATGGAAAGGTCATGTCAAAAATAACTGGTAAATGGGGAAACAATTGCTGCAGGATGTCCATTTGCTGGTCCACACAGCAAGTTTTAAGGAATTTTTTTAAAGGAGAATAAGATAATGAGATGAATGGGTTCGGGAGTGCAGCCAAAGTAGTTGAAGGTTCTGCTACCTGTGTTGAGGAAAAGCCAAAATTAGACAGCAATGAGCAGAAACTCCAACAGCCTTAATGTTACCTAAAGTAATGTAGTGTCTTTTCAAAATAAAAATGTTTCAGATTTCCAAAGTCGGAAGTTAAAACAAAATGCTGAAAAATATCAACAGGCCGCTTGTGCAGAAAGCAACACAGTTAAAGTTTCAGGTCAACAATGTTTTGTCAGAGCTGTTGATCTCCTTTCAGGACTCTTGAATTAAATGATAATTTTAGATAAATCATGATTGTGAAATTTCCTGATGTTTTGGTCATTATTTTGGCTTGTTAACTCTGCACAGGAAAACTGTGAACTAAGAGTGGTTTCAGATAATACCTGATCATCATTTATGAGAGAAACAAAAGTTTGATAATCATTCCTTATGCTATGTAGCTCATCATTACTAATTCCGTAATGTTCATTCTTTTCCAGGTACAGCACAAGTGACTCAAACTAAAAACTTACCAAATGCTCCAAAGGCACTCATTATTGAACCATCAAGGGAACTGGCTGAACAAACCCTGAATAATGTTAAGCAGTTCAAGAAAAATGTTTCTAATCCCAAACTAAGGTAGCTTGTCTTAAAAGGTCTTGCTCCTCTTTTCCCCTTCATCCCAGCCACCCAATAAATAATTATACTGTTGAACTAACAGTTCTTTATCTGCCAAAGATTGTTTTGACTTCTCAGACTAACATAAATAATGCCTTTATTGGGATTGTCTGGTTTGTGATGTCATTTCACTTACTTGAACGTTCTGAAATCACGAATCATTTTTGTTTTTTCTTTTAATTTTCAGTTGTAATCTGTTGTTTAATGCATCCTTTCTAGAGAGTTTCATTTAACTCTGGGAATACGTTCCTTTATTTCCAGTTATTTTGTTTGTGCAGGGATGAGAAGTTTCTGCCATTTGGTAGAATTGACCATTTCGTCAAAGAATTTGTCGAGTTTTTGTTTCAGTCTTGCATATTTCCAGAGTCAGTGCATAAAATTGTCGAGCAATCATTGCTCCACCTGGCAGTGTGGCATAGAAACATGTTCAGTACAAAGCACGTTTGTGTGTTTGAAATAATTCTGTGCAAGTATTGTTTGTAAGGAATCGTGTTCAACAGAAGGTTTTGGTCCAATTGGCTGTGTGCCCAAAATGCTTTGGAACAGTTAAGCTGTCGCTTATGTTTTATGTATGAATTGTCAGTGGAAGGTAACAAGAACATTTTTCCTTCCCTTTTTAGTTTCTTCTGTAATGAGTTACCACCCTGAGGACAGCTCCATAGATGTTGTCAGCCCTCCAATGTCACATTCATCATTGCGTGCCCAAAGAAAATGTTACACCACACATTGAGAAAACTTATCCCCACATAATGTCATTTCATTTTGCAGTAGTATTCACCAGATAGTCGTCATTGAGATTAAATCTCAATTTTGTCTTTCTGTTCCTCCGACTGGAACGTTTTTATTTTGTTGAATAGAACTCATTCAGAAAGGACAGGGCACTGTTGTCTCTGATTTGATCTTCGCAGACATATATGTTCAAACTCAATAGTACAAATGCTGATTTTAAAGATAAATATTTCAGTTAATTTACAACAGTCCTTTGGGAAAATACAAACCCAACTACTGAGCTGTGTTGTACTCTTTGTTCATGCATAGACAGTCTTATTTTGGAACTCTGTTTTGTTCTGTTTCAGGGAGCTTCTGATTATTGGAGGTGTTTCTGCAAAAGATCAACTAGCTGTCCTGGAACAAGGTGTAAGTTTTCCCTTTTATTAACAAGAAAATGTGTCGATGTGCACATATATATGTGTGATTTCATTGAAAACGTCAGCTAAATAAAGTGATCTGGAATAAATTTATGGTGTATAAGTTAAAAGATCCAGCAGTAGTTGCAGTGATGTTCTGTACACAGCAGTGCCACACAATCTATCGATGACCAAGGTCTTGAAAGTTACTGTATGAATACAAATCATTTCCCTCCCAAGCACTGATGAAACCCCAAGTTCGGTCAGTCCTCAAGTTGTAATTTCTTTGAAATAACTTTTATATCCCAATATTATATACTAATAGTGGTTAAATGTTGTTTTTTGATGGTGGAAGAGTAATACTATTGTTAATGTATTTTTAAATTGCTGCCAACAGTTTCCACAGCAAGCAATTCATGTAAAATGTAGCCATGACAAACGTATTTTTGCTTTTGTGTATTTGCACAATTTTCTTTAAGGGGCTAATTAAAACCAACCACTGCCAAGCATCTTAAAACTACTTACGAATACCTATTTTGAGCAACTATTTTTAACCTGCTCTGACCTCAATAAAGATGTATCATCAACCCCACCAATAATAAAGGCATCTTGTTGACAACCATTTCTTCCTGAAGCTGTGCATTCTCAGTTTATTGTCTAGTTCTGCAATTCCCTTCCCTCAACCTTTTTTCTTTTACAGTTTCCTTGCCATGCATTTTTATGAATATTTTGCATAAAGAATCCTTTGCTGTCACTACTTCCCCCTCCCAATTTCACACCACCATCGTCCGTACTCTCTCGCGCACTCTCGTCCTTTCTGTTTTGTGCACTCTTGTTCAACTTTACCACTGTACTGCCATTCTCTACCTGTATGTATCAGCATACCTTTTACCTTGCTGATTTCTGTCTGTACCTGTGTGATAACGTGGTCACTCCCTACTCTCTCATGTAAGAAATACTCTGTGTGTCTGTTCCTTCTGCTAAAGTTGATAACCTCTCACTTCTCCATATATTTAAATTGCTAAGGTCTTATCTACTAATTTGTGCAAATCCTTTCGAAGTCTCTTTGCATCATCCTCACATTCCTACCTTCCCAGCTAATTTTATCTCAGCCAAAAACTTGGAAATATTTCATTTGGCCTCCACATCCAATTCCGTTATGTTGAATGTGAACAGCTAGGGCCCAAGCAGTGATCCTTGTGATAGCTGTCTAGATTCTGTCTGCCCATTCACCCATTTATTCCTATTCTCTGTTTTCTTTCTGACGACCAGTTCTCAATGAATGTTAGTATGCACTCTAATTTTGCATGTTAACCTCCTTTTGGACCATATCAAGCTTTCCTGATATATAATTTTCCTTACAATTGTATTAACCCCCACCTTTAAAAGAGGTACAATTAATTTATCAACTTTATCGCTTCACACTGGAAACAGTTTATTAAGAACAAAATTCAGCTTTGATTTGATAACTTTTTTTCTCTGTTAACATTAGATTTAAAACTTGTGAGCTTTAACAGAATGTAACAGTGAATCTATTACACACCATTAACATGGTTTATTTGGGTCTCCTTATTTTATACTACTACGTTATTAATGCTTTATTTTTCTCAAGTTGTCTTTCTACAAAGCTACATTTTCAGCAATTATTCAAGCTTCTAATTCTGTGCCTCATTTTAATTTTTGGTTGTTGACCAGTTCAAATATTGAAGGTGCATCTTAAGCTGTAAAGGCTTGTGATTGAACCACCCTATTCTTATAAATTTTATTATTGGTCTGTAATTTTACTGAAGTCTTGACAACACAAAGTTGCAAATAATGAATTTTCTGGCCTATTCTCCAGGTGGATATTGTTGTCGGAACTCCTGGAAGAATAGATGACCTTGTCTCAACAGGAAAGCTGAATCTATCCCAAGTTAGGTTCTTGGTGTTGGATGAAGCTGTGAGTATTTATTCATCAAAACTAAAATACTGTCACTGTAATGGTCAATCCTGCAAATTGAATAGCATCTGTGTTCATCTACAACAGCATTTTTTCATAACTTCACATATCACCTGTAATCTGTTTCAATAACGCGCCTTTAGTTACTTTTGATTCTATCACCTAATCTACAAGGTAGTGTTTCAAGCATCTATTTAAAATGAATATGACGAACTTGCAAGACTAAGTTCTGAGGCCCCACAATGTTCAAGTTACATCTGAGATACATTAATCTGAGAGTTGCAATTAACCAGTCAATACTGCTACCAAGGGCTCAATAGGAGCCAGTATGGATTTGCATTAACTGCCTGAATGAGATACATTTTATAATGTTACATCAACATTTTAAAATGTAAGGGGTGTACTGTGAATTTGTAACATTTTTAATAGGAGGCTCCCCCCAACATAATTTTCCAAACTCTTTTTTTGCAGTATTTCTTCACATGAAACATTTTGTTTAAATCTGATTAATCATATTAAAAAGTAAAATATGACTTTCACATGATTTGCCAAGCCATTTAAGTGTTGCATTTTGAATTGATTTATCTGATCAAAATTATTGTACCTTTTTTTAAAAATCTCTTAACATTTTTCAAATTTTAAAATGCCCAACAAAAAAAAGGGGAGTTTCCAGTGCCGTTTTACTGCTGTAGCCTTTTGTAAATTGAGTGTCCCTTTTCTGCCTCCTGTGCTGCTTGGTTTCGTGCCAACCCACCTCCCTCAAGGTAGCCATAAATCTTGTCACCATGATTGCAGCAGGTTCACCTGGATATTTATCCTATATTGATTGTAAGCGGTCTACTGCATTGCTGATCATAAAATTCGGGCATACATTTTGTTCATACTTCATAAAAGGCATTTCTGAAGAGTTTTTTTTTAAGTGTGTAGACTAATACTATTAGCATAGGAAAGATTTTCAATGTTTTATCATCTTAAACCTAACATTGAAAAAAAAGGTCAAAGTTTTAGATTTTGTCAAAGATCTTTAATTATACAAAGTCTTGTTTTGTTAACCTTAGCCTTAGTTGTGTTGACATTTTTTTTGTGTCCAAAGAAGATACTTTTTAAAAAAAGCAAAGTTTAACATATTTTATGTTCACAGAAGTTCTCTGTTGGTAATAAGTAAATCTAAACCTTGTGGTAAATATTTACAAAGGTAGAGAAAGATTCAAGGAAAGGGATAAGCCAACCATGGTTAACCAGTCAAGTTAAGGATAGCATCGAATTGAAAGAAAATAAGCATAAAATGTGCAAATATTAGCTGTAAGCCAGAGGATTGAGCAAGTTTTAAAAATTGGTGCAATAATAATGGGGAAAAAGGAAATGGCAGAAAAGTTGAATAAATATCTTGTCTCAGTAGAAGACACTAATAGCACTAATAGAATAATCAAAGGGCAAAAGGAGGAGCGAAAATAAATACAGTAACTATCACTAGAGGAAACTAATGGGGCTAAAGACCAAACCATGCCCTGGACCTGGTGGAATGCATCTAGGATATTAAAGGAAGTAGCTGCAGAGGTAGCGGATGCATTGGTAATAATTTTTGAGGAATCCTTGGGTTCTGGTAAAGTTCCAGAGGTTTGGAAACCTGCCAGTGTAACATCCTCATTTAAAAAGGGAAGGACCCAAAAAAAATGTAACTATATACCAGTTAGCTTAACGTCTGTTATCAGGAAAATGTTAATGCCTGTTGTAAAGGATATGCTAGTAGAGCGTTTAGCAAGTTGTTCTGTGAGGATGATGGAATTCTTTACTGCAGAGGACTGTTGTGGCTGAACCATTAAGTATATTCAAGGTTTAGACAGACTTTTAATCATTAATGGAATAAAAGGTTATGGGAAGAAGGCAGGAAAGTGAAATTGAGGATTATCAGATCAACTATGATCTGTTTGACTGACAGCGAATAGCCTACTTCTACATATTATGGGCTTAAATGTAGCATTAAAAGACATTACATATTTTAAAGTTGTAAAAATATTAGCCTACACCATTCATGTTGCAATTTCTTGCTGACTAAATATGGAACTTGTGTAATTGCATCTCGCAGGATGGACTGCTTACTCAAGGCTACTCAGACTTCATTTCAAGAATACATTCTCAGATCCCTCAAGTGACATCTGATGGCAAAAGGTTGCAGGTATGAACTTTGTTTAGCAAGATAATGACATTATAACCTCTGTCTTCTTGTAACAGAGCTAGGTGCCTTGTTTGAAGATCTCATCAGGATTCTTCTGATACTTCATGTAATTTTGGCCATGCTGTGTAACTAGCACAATCGGGGAAATACTGCTTTTCTTTTGTTTGTTTCATTGACTTCAGTATTCTGAACTTTGCTTCAAAAAAAGACTGAATATTTTCATCAGCTGCCAATTGTACGTTTAATAAATTATCTACAAATTTTATCAGACCTCTTTGATACAAAAAACAATGTGATAAGAAAGGCTTCAAGAGTCAAACCAAACACACTTTCTGAATGGTCCTATAGATAGAAAACACCTCTAGAAATGACTGTCAAAAAGATATTCGAATTCTGTCATTGGGCTGTACTCTGTACAAATCTCGGATTTCCTGATATATGGCATAATTTGCCTTTGCAGGAAATTCAATCTGACATAATTAATCAAATTAAAGAAAGTTGGTATTCTTCAAATTCTAAAGAAGCCACTAGAAAGCTATGTTTGGAAACATGACTGATAAAGGACATTTAGATGTGTTTTGAAATTGTTTTGAAAGAGTTGTCTTCCTGCAGTTGGGAACTAGAGGAGCTATTCAATTTTGTCAACCAAACATTTTGTCAAAAAATTGCAAAGCACCCTTATATTTTGTTACATCATAAATACAATGAATAGATCTTGGGGATCATCCTCTGCAATAAGTCCAAAAGTATGAGGCATGATTGTGCAAATTAATGACAAATGTTCATTTCTCCTAAATTGAAATGCTGACTTCACCTGTCATGTCTTTTAATGTATGGTAACACCCATTCTAGGTAGTAAAATAGCCTAAAATGATTTTGCTTTCTATGCTTTGTTTAGGTCATTGTTTGCTCTGCCACACTGCATTCATTTGATGTTAAGAAGCTATCAGAGAAGATCATGCATTTCCCCACCTGGGTAGATCTTAAGGGAGAAGATTCTGTTCCTGAGACCGTACATCATGTTGTTCTAAGAGTTAATCCAAAAACTGATCGTTACTGGGAGAAAATTGCAAGGCATATCCGGGTAAAGAGGGTTGGACTGCTTTCATTAGCAATTTAGCAATTATTATCAATCTTGGGCCCAGTGCCTAAACAAAAGGAACATGCTAATCCTATGTTAATGTTTGTGGAACCTTTTTACCACAGTACTGCGTATTCTGTTCTCCCTCTTGCACCCTCACTCCAACAAAAAACTACAAATATTCCTTTGAAAATTTATGCTGAGTGAAGCTTTGGAACTACTGCCAAGTAACCTCCATGTGCTTTAATTTTCTTTGTTCTTCTATAAGAAATATAACTCTTGATATGCATTAAATCAATTGGTAGTCAGAGTATTTAACTGTGTATTACTTCCTCAGACAGATGAAGTCCATGCAAAAGATAATACAAGACCTGGTGCCAGTACTCCAGGTCAGTGCCTTTGCATTATATGCCATACTGTCCAGCTTTCCTTCTTAGATTACTAAGTACTAATCTGTACAGCCTTTGAAAATGAAAATTTATGTTATTGGTATTGAATCCTAAAGACTTTTGTCATTGAACACCATGTAGAAAGCACTTCCCAAGTATCTATCGGAATGTATATAAATGGAAATACTAATTAGCTATGCTCATGGCCCAACTGTCTTTTATCCAAATGGAAAGTTTGAAACAGAACTGTTTGTAATGCAGCCCCCTTTTAATTTTGAGGTTAAAATTCCAATAGCTAACTTCTTTTGTGTGTCTTTTCAAATAATATTTATTAATCTGAATGAAGTCTCTTGCCTTCATGTTGCAGCTAAAATTAAAACTTTATTCTACAAATTCAACTGGTACAATAGTAACAAGAAAAATTGTGCTGGGTTTAATTATTGATTATCAGATTTCAATGACTTGAAACAATAACCATTTTTTAATCAATAATGAACTTGCTAACACTGTTTTGAAATTTCTGAATCAGTGGCTTTGATTATACAGACAAGATGTTCTTTTCTTTTTTTTTTAATTCATGTATTTCCATATGTAATTTCTCCAGAGATGTGGTCAGAAGCTATTAAAATACTGAAGGGGGAATATACAGTCCGTGCAATCAAAGAACACAAGATGGACCAAGCAATCATTTTTTGTAGGACAAAGCTTGACTGTGATAACATGGAACAGTACTTTATTCAGATGGGAGGAGGTGAGATAATTCTGATGGCTATTGCTTTGTTTTGGCCATTTGTGTTTTGTTGTAGGGATTCTTACTTTTTTTTTTACTATTTTAGGACCAGATAGAAGGGGGCATCAATTCTCTTGTGTCTGCTTACACGGTGATAGAAAACCAAATGAACGAAAGCAAAACCTGGAAAGATTCAAGGTGCTTTTGCAATACTTGTCTATCTCATTTTAAGTTACCAGATAAGGGAATCTAAAATCAAATCAACGTGCTGAAGAAATTTACTGGTCTGGCAGCATTTTTGGCATGAGAAACAGTTAACACTTAAGAGTTCAATATGATTCTTCAGAACTAAAGCAAGCTCAAAGCGAATTTGGAGTTTTCAAAAAGTATTCAATAACTAACAATACTAGTTCATTAGACAAAATTAGGGCACATAGGATTGGGGATAGTATAATTATACTGTTAGAGGGTTGATTCATAGGAGACGATCTGAAATGAGACATTTTGCATTGGCAGGCTGTAACTGGTGGGTTACTGCTCGGTCTGTGCTTGGGCTGCAGCTATTTATAATCTGTGTTAATGATTGGACTATATTAAACTCTGTCTCATATAAGTTTGTTAACAATACGAAACTTGGGAAATGCCACATTATCTGCTTTGATAAGGAAATCTAACAAAGCAGATTTTCTTTTAAAAAAGATACAAAGAAATGCTAGTATTCAGAATAACCTTAGGTATCCTTCTACATGAATGATAGAAAGTTAACGTGGAGGTACAGCAAACCGTTATGAATGCAAATCCTGTGTTAGCCTTTATTGTGAAGGAATTGGCATATAAAAGTAAATACATTTTTATTATAGCTTTATGCAAGACCCGAGTTCACACATGGGTATAAGAGATCAAAATGGACATAGTACTTCAAGGAAGGGCAGCAAAGATCCACTGGACCGTTCCCTGAGATGAAGTGCATTATTGTATGAGAAGTTGTGTAAGCTAAGCCTGGGTTTCTTTTAGCATAAAAGAAGTGAAGGTGTTCTTCTTGAAATAGTGATGATCCCAGCTGATGTTAATATTGGTAAAGTTAGATCCCAGAGGGAAACCTGACTTGATAGACCATGAATTTTATTTTCTTCTCTATTGATCATGGAAATCAGCCCCTGAATATATATTCATTTGCTAACCTACTTTTAGCAAAAGAACATTAATGTCCCTCCCTGAGGCACTTGAAACAAACTTCTAACTCCGCTTATGTTTTAGGGAACTGATGTTAAATAATCTGTGTTTTCAAGAGCCTTGTAGGATGTTATCTTTCTCTGACTCCTCCACAGCCTTCTGCTTCTGGAGCTTTATTCTTACTGACCTCTAAGCATTACCCGCCCTGAATATTTTGAAACTGCTGACAACAGCACCTCTGCTGTAATGACTCTCTAACCTTCTCTCTTTGGTCACAAAACTCAAGCCATCAAACGTGTAAGCAGTTATTTCCCCATGTGGCTTGCTGGTAATTTAGTTGAAGTCCTATAACTATCTATAAATTCTATTTTGAACTCAATTTTCAAAATGACTTTCTGATCTTATTAAAACAAAAGTTTTTCAGAACTGAAGTGTCATTGGACTCAAAACATTAACTCTGTTTTTCTCTCTGTTGAAACTGCCAGACGTGCTGAGTTTGTCTAGTAGTATCTATTTTTATTTCAGGATGTTTTCCCTGTCTGAGGAATGCAGAAATTGGGGCTCACAGTTTCAGAATAAGGGGTCATCCACTTAGGACCGAAATGAGGAGAAATTTCTTGACTCGGGGTTGTAGATCTTTGTTACGCTGAGACCAGAGAATGGTCAATCATTGGACATGTATGTAAGGCAATTCAAAAGATTTTAAAATGCAAAGGGAATCAAGTTGTGCAGGGAGGACAGGTAAGATGGGATACAAAATCATTTCTGAACTTCCAGAAGAGCAGAATAGGCTTGAAGGGCTGAATGGTCTCATCACACTGCTATTTTATTATGTAATTGTCAATTTCACTTCAAATTGGCAAGCAACTGCTGCACATTACTTTGCTAACTTCATCTCCTGGTGTATGACTATTCGCATTATGTATGTGCGGGACTTACAGTAAATCAGCAAATTAATTCAAACATAAATTTATTAAATGTATTATTGTGACACCATTGTTTCATTTAATTTTAAAATCTAACATTTTTGAGAAATCTTCAAAGTGTATTCACTTATATAATGCTTAAAGATCAAATATTAAATATAAACATATCCGCAAATTCAAAGAATAAAAATGCCAACATAAAAGCTGTGAACAGAAGGAACAACACCATCATCTTTGTTTAAGGAAAGCATTATGACTGATTTCTTCAACAGCAAAATAACATGACTGCTGGAGATACTCGGCAGGTTTGTCATAACGTGTTGAGTGAGAAACAGAATTAATGATTTAGGCTATGTTCTTTCTATTGATAAAAGGCCATTAAGCTGAAATGTTAATTCTTTTTCTCTCCTCATCAATGCTGTCACGCCTGCTGAGTATTTACAGCATTTTATTTTTTAATGAAAGCTGGTTTCTATGATTTTGTGTTCCGAATAATCTCTCCTATTTATTTGTATTGCAACCGACCACTCTTAAAAATGTAAACTTGTAGAGAGATGTCTCATTTTAGAGGCATTTGAAACTGGAGTTCATAGCTTTTTATTTTTAAATGTTCTTCTGAACAAAGTTGACAAAGCTTGTATTATTTAGTGTTAAGCATTAAACAACTACTCTAAAATTGAGGTCTGAAGATTAGTTCTTTGAGTATAATTGATTGGGTTTTTATACAGAATTTCGCCAGTGTTCTGTTTGTTATTGAACCACAACTTCAGCTAAATTTGAAACATTTAAAGGTGCTATATTATCTGGCATTTAATATCTTGACCTGAAGTTACATATGTATTTCTACAAAAATGACAAACGCCAAATGCTGTTAGTGACTGAAGTTGAATCTAATAATTGCACTGTCATAGACAGGAATGGACTTTTTATTATTTAGTTGCTTGTAACTTAATTCTATTTATTTGCTGTAAAGGGTAGTAAATTTTATGACCATTGTTTCTTGCTAAACTGGCCTTTTAAATTAAATATTTTCATTACTAACTGATACCAGAATGTACAGTCATGTAAATTTTCATGAGATTAGCTGGTGATAAATCAGCTCACCCAATAATTGTCATTATCCAGTTGAATTGATTACAAGTCTTTGTCTTCTGCCACCTCCAATTTGGTGAGTGGGGTGGCGTCTATAGATGGAAATCAAAAAGTGGTACCAAGTGAAATTAACTTGCTACAGGATGTGTAATAAAGGACAAAAATTTTGACATGATTAAACTTTGGCAGTCAAAAAACAAAGATTTGATGCATTTTTTTCTTGTTTTGGGAAGAGAGCAGATGTAAAACTCCTGATCTGCACTGATGTTGCTGCCAGAGGAATTGACATTCATGGGGTTCCTTTTGGTAAGTGAGGTATTTATTGGTGTGTTGCTGTTTATTCATTTAATACAGTATTAATTTATCTTTGCTTTTAAAATTAGTGATTAATGTGACTCTCCCTGATGAAAAACAAAACTATGTTCATCGGATTGGCAGAGTGGGCAGAGCTGACAGGTAGGATACAAAGTTTGCATTCATTTCCTATATATACTTTTTAACATGCTTCTTTTTTATTGCATGTCTGCAAAAGAATAAAATGGCAACTTTTTTTTTCAGGATGGGTCTAGCCATTTCCTTGGTTGCAACTGAGAAAGAGAAGGTAATCCTATTCTACTATAATAAAAAAAATTGCTTTGTTTATTATTTTTAAACTGTTCATCCCCTAACAACCAAAACCTGTGATGGCTTTAAACTAAATTGCTCCTCCTTTAGCTGGAGCTGTTCGTAATTGTTGCCAGTTAGAAGTGTTTTTTTAACCTGCTGATCTGATGAGTAATTTGTTACACTGTCACTTATTTGAAGTCTAAGTCAGATGATTTTGTATCCGTATTGAACAGAATTTTGAAAAGTTTCAGGATCATTGATATTGATTTGTTGCTGTCTGATCACTAAATTGATGATTTCAGTATTTGACTGGTCGTTTAAAACGATTTTGAGTCATGGGATAGGATAGAATAGACTCATACAGCACGGAAACAGGCCCTTTGGTCCAACTGGTCCATGCATAATCCCAAACTAAATAAGCTCCACTTGCCTGCTCCTGGCCCATATCCCTCCAAACTTTTCCTATTCATCTACTTATCCAAATGTCTTTTAAACATTAATTGTACCCACATCCACTACTTCCTCAGGAAGTTAATTCCACACACAAACCACCCTCTGTGTTTAAAAAAAAATTTAAAAATTGCCCCTTGTGTCTTTTTTAAATCTCTCCTCTCACCTTAAAATTGTATCCCCTAGTCTTGAAATCCCCCATCCTAGGGAAAAGACAACTATCATTTACTCTGTCTATATCCCTCATTATTTTAAACTTCTATAAGGTCACCTCTCCACGTCCTATGCTCCAGTGAAAAAAGTCCAAGCGTATTCAGCCTTTCTTTATAACTCAAACCATCCATACCTGGCAACACCCTGGTAAATGTCTTCTGAACCATCTCCAGCTTAATAATAACCCTTCTTTTAACTGGATGACCAGAACTCGACACACTATTCCAAAAGAGGCCTCACCAATGTCCTGTATAACCTCAACATAACATCATAACTCCATGTACTCCAAGGATTGAGCAATGAACGCAAGCATGCCAAATGCCTTTTTAACCACCCTGTCTACATGTGATGCAACCTTCAAAGAATTATGTTTCCTAGGTGAACTCCTAGGTCCTTTTTTTTTTTGTTCTACAACACGACCCACAGCTCGACCATTAATTATATAAGCCCTACCCTTGTTTTGTTGTACCAAAATACAAATCCAGATTGAACTTGATCTGCCATTTTCAGCCCATTGACCCATTTGATCAAGATCTCTTTTAATCCGCAAACTTACTAACTATGCCTTCTGTATTTTCGTCAAATCATTTATATAAATGACAAACAAAAGAGGACCCAGGGAGTTACACAGCATAGAAGCAGACCCTTCAGATCAACTCATCCATGCTGATCAGTTAACCTAAATAAATCTAGCCCTATTTGCCAGCATTTGGCCCATATCCCTCTAAACCCTTCCTATTCATATACCCATCCAGATGCCTTTTAAATGTTGTAATTGTACCTGCCTTTACCACCGCCTTTAACAGCTCACTCCATGCATGCACCAGCCTCTGTGTGAAATCATTGCCCCTCGGGCCCTATTAAATCTTTCTGCTCTGACCTTAAACCTATATCGTTTAGTTTTGGACTCTGCTACTCTAGGAAAAAATTCTTGGCTATTCAGAGATTGCTGCAATTAGAAAGGATCTAATTAGAAAATCTTATTTTAAACATTTCTAGGTTTGGTACCATGTATGTCCAAATCGTGGAAGAGGTTGCTATAACACCAGACTTAAGGATCAGGGTGGGTGTACTATATGGTACAATGAAGTGCAGGTATGTTAACCTCTTACACTGAAACAAAAATGACATTAATTTGAGATTTACAAAATGTAAACCCTTTCACCTACTGTAGTAGCCAGTTCACCAATATTGTTCAGTCGCTGAGTTTCAGCCTGACTTTAGAATTCCTCTTGAATGTGGCTGAAATTTGAACTAATGGTCAATCCTGTATTAGTAAGGAATTCATGCTTGTTTTGATTAACATGGTTAGTAAATATACACATGATGTAGGGTAACACATTAGCATGGATAAAGGATTGGCTTGCAACAGAGTAGAGATCAATGAGACCATTTCAAGTTGGCTCGTAACTAGAGGCCTGCCACAGGGATCAGTGTCAGGCTCTTCAACATTTACAATCTACATAAATGACATGGGTGCAGAGAAAAAAATGTACAGTAGGAAAATTTGTCAATGGTGCCAGTATAAGTAGGAAAGTTGGTTGTCATGAGGAGATAAAGAGGTAAAGGGATATTGATAGATTGGATAAGTTTGTCATTGAATTTATTCAAAGCAGAGTTAAATAGATTTTTGACAGGTAATCGGGGTTAGGGGGGATTAACAGGAAAGTAGGGTTGAGACCACAATCAGATCAGCTAAGGTTGCATTGAATGTCAGGAGCCTTCTCAAAGAGCTGAATGGCTTAATCTGCTAATACGTCCCATAATGTCTTGCAGGCAATCCAGAATTGTAAACTTGGGCTTCAGCTTGCTCCCCCATCCCCCAAGCCTGCTTTTCTTTTTTGACTCGCGTTAGGAATGTTATATTTGCGTACCTATAATCTCAGTTTAGGTGACCTGTATGTTGTGAATTAGCTGATTACAAGCAACCTCTCTTAGAGATCAAAATGATGGTATTTGATTTCTTGAAGTGAAGCAAATAAATAAAGTTGGTAATCGATAGAACTTGGAAAATGTGTTATAACTAGAACACTGCCTTGTATCTTGAGCAGGCTGTTACATGCCGCTGCTGGTTGTATTCTGGGCAGTTGGAGCATGCAATATAAGGTGATTAGCTCATCACCTTCCCACCCACCCAGCTCACCTCCATCAAAGAAGGTTGGCCGGCACACAAGTCAGCAGCCCATCACTGTATGTAAATAAATAATTGCAGATAAGTTGAGCTTGTCAAAAGCTCAGTAATATGTCCAATATTACACTGTCCACAGAATAAAATGGTTGAAGTGGGCAGGGGTATGCAATCTTTTCCTCTAGTGTTAAAAGCTGGAGGAAGAGGAGGCTGCTATTATTGAAGGGCTTCTCTCTCCGATTTAAGGGCACCCTCCTTGAGAAGATAGCCCAAAGTGCCAAAACTCCCAGCCTGAGCCCAAAGACTCCAGTATGTATCAGTCCTCCTGTGCAGCCTCAACAGCACCCACGATGGAGCTCTGGTACTGCCAGGGCTTCAGTTCCTGAGTGCGAGACTTCCTGAGAGACAGGGGCAGGAATCCCAATAGGAGCTTGTTTAGTTTGTCTGCAAAAATGACCTGCCTGTAGGGCAGATTTCTAACTGGCCTTACTCTGGCCTCCTTCACCACTTTTTGTCCTTTTTTTTTTTGTTGCATTAGAATATATTTCCCAGAAAATTCTCATGATTAATCCAAGAATCCAGATGACGATAGGAACATTTCAGTTTATTGTGTTCGTTGTATCATTGTGTTATGGGCATCTTTACAGCCATTTGCGTTTAATTGAAATGGGTGAATACATGTTGCGGTTGATTTTTTTTGTTTTTGTTTGAAGTCGGTAATTATTTTCTGACAATTTTATTAACTGATTGTAACTGCTTGGTTAATAAAATGACTTGGCTTTTTGCTTTGTATTTTTATCAACATTACATTCTGACAAAGCTGTTCAATTTAATGTAAGATTGTTTATGGTAAATTGCATGATGTGCCGTTTATAAAGATTGCATTTGTTACTATGTACCCTCTACAAACGTCTGTCCCAAGAGATTATGATTTGGGCAATCTGATCACAACTAAGCCATTGCTGACCTTGCTGATGTTAATGTGGTAAAGTTGTGAAAAACGTTTTCAACTTTTTTTATAGTTGAAGATGAATAGTAGCATCATTAACCACACTCTGTTTAAGATTAGCTGCCTGGACACTGCTCAAGAATTAGACTTCAATATATTGAGGACAAATACATTGCAGTGCTTCTGGGGGAGACTCTTGCATCTAATGATCCATACATCGTGTGATTTTGGAAATAATAGCACCAGTACCTTTTGATCCAAATAGGAATTCATCCAGTTTATTTGTCTTTATCAACCTATCTGCCACTCCCCAGCACGACCTTCTAGCACATTCTGCAAAACAAAAAGAAGTAATTTGTTATTCTAGACTAGTTCCTCCATGATTTCAGATTCTAAACAGTATTCATGCCCAGATTGTCTGTCTACTTTTTAGAAAATAACCAATTGCGAACTAAGATCTTTTCTGGATAATAATTCTGGATAGTGTGTCTACTAGAATGATTAATGTTTATTTATAATTATAAATGTTTGGACACATCTGTGAGTTATCTCAGACAAAAAAAAAGAAAATATCTGAATTCTTTCAAGCTGTTGTCTGAGATTGAAGAGCACTTGAATGTCATCATCACTCAAGTTGAGCCTGACCTGAAGATACCAGTGGATGAGTTTGATGGCAAAGTAGTCTATGGAAAGAAAAGAGCAGCGGGAGGTGAGTATTTTACAGGGGAAGAACTTTGATACATTGCATTCATCACTTAAAACAAAATTAATGTTATCTCTGTTTTGCTATGGTTCATAAAATGACAAAAGAAGATATTTCTCTATCTTTCCTGTGCTGACACCTTGGGGTCAGCGACAGCACAGAATGAGGCTATTTAGCCCATTGAATCTGTGCCAGCTTCCTGTAGAGCTCTTACACAGTGTTTTCAAACGTCAAAAGGGAGATTTTGTTTGATACAATTCCCCTTCTCCTTTTGGCTACTTTTCTACTATTTTTATATGTTTCAAAAAAGACTTCAAGGTTATTTTCAAGGTAGTTACTAATCTGTTCTTCTGTTCTCTTTGCCCTTCCAATTTAGATCTCTTCTATTTTCTGTGTTTAATTTTTGGTTTTTGCTGGTATACTTTTACAATTTTTAATGGTCATAAACCTCCTTTCTCTGTTTCATTTAATCACTATCTTTAGTCATGTAGAAAGTTCTAGCCTTGTGTGTCATTTTCTGCTTTTGTGGGAACATGTTTGCAGTGTGCCCAAGACCATGTAGAATTACTGTTTTGCCAGTTTTCGATTCCTTTATTTCCTTTAGAAATGTAGTCCTTCAGTTAACTATTATTACATTTTTTTCCTTGCCTTTGCCTTTTCCAAAATAATTTTGAACTTGAAGGTATTATGACTGCTTACCCAAATGCTACATTGTGTGAATAAAATTTGCGGTTCGTGTGGACTATTCTATACTAATGGTATGATCTGTTATATTGGGCATAGTGTCATGTATTCCACTACTGTAACCACTGCCTTTTATATGGTTAATACTTCAAAACTCTTGCATCTCTAATAGGATGTGGCTATCTCTAGAAAGGCCAGCATTTGTCGTAAATCCTTTTAATTGCCCTTCAGCTGAATAGTTTGCTAGGCCAATTCAAAAGCGGACCTAGAGTCGCGTGTAGGCATTCAGCGTAAGGATGGCATGTTCCCCAAAGGAAATTAATGAACCAGATGGGTTTTTATGACAATTAGCTGCCATGGTCACTATTACGGAGACTGACTGACTTTCAAATTCCAGATTTCATTTATTGATGTGGGAATTAAAATCCCAGGGCCTCTGGACTTCCAGTCCACTTGTGCTGACCACTGTCGCCATCTCCCTGTCACTATCATTTGAATGAATAACAGCCGAATTTTTAGTAGGTTTAACAGTTAATCCAAAAATATTCATTCTTGAGAAACATTCTTGCTTCTCTCTTCCTCGTCATCAACCCATACCACTCGGAAATTAGATCATTTACACTATCTTTCATGAAAGTGTTTGACGTCACCTGTTCCAAAAGATAAGCATCATTAACAAAGTCGGGTTTATCCACCTGAAATGAAGTGTGCTTTATTTTGCTATTACAAATAATAAAATCCAGCATATTTTAGTAAGTTTCCATTTTGTCCCTTAGAGATATGAGCATGAAGTGAATGCCAGAATTCCTGCCTAATGATGCACTGGATTTTGTCTGAGCATCTCTTTCTAAGTGCATTTATCTGAATTTTGGAAATGATATTAGGTCTTACAAGCACATCTTTAATTATGTAAATCTTCCCTTGTTAAATTACCTGCAAGAGGTTTAATAATAATGCCATGGCAAGATGTTAAATGAATCTACCTTATTTATATAGTGTTCACAAATTCCCAATGATAAGCTTGTTTAAAATAAAGTACTTAATTAGTTGCATCTACCTACACTAGAAGATTTTAAAAGAATTAACATCAGTTTCAGTACCATGCTGTTTTTACTTTGCTTCATTAACCTCAATTTCATGGTACTTTTTGTTCTTTTTGATCTTGAAATTGGTTTGCCAAAGTGATTGTTTCATAAACCCTAAGCTGATTTGTTTTTAAGGTTCATGGGAACACACTTGATACATAGAACATAGAACAGTACAGCACAGTACAGGTCCTTCGGCCCACGATGTTGTGCCAAACTTTTACCCTAATCCTAAGGTCTATCTAACCTCCACCCCTACCTTTGTACTATCATCCATATGCCTATCTAATAGTCGCTTAAATGCCCCAATGAGGCCGACTCCACTACCCTCTCCGGCAATGCATTCCACACCCCGACCACTCTGAGTAAAGAACCTACCTCTGACGTCTCCCCTAAATCTACCTCCACTCACTTTAAAACTATGCCCCCTCGTAATAACTACCTCCATCCTAGGAAAAAGTCTCTGGCTGTCCACTCTATCTATACCTCTGATCATTTTGTACACCTCTATCAAGTCATCTCTCATCCTTCGTCGTTCTAAAGAGAAAAACCCTAGCTCTCTCAACCTTTCCTCGTAAGACCTCCCCTCCATTCCAGGCAACCTCCTGGTAAATCTCCTCTGCACCTTTTCTAACGCTTCCACATCTTTCCTGTAATGAGGCGACCAGAACTGGACACAGTACTCCAGATGTGGCCGAACCAGTATTTTGTATAACTGGAGCATAACTTCACGGCTCTTGAACTCAGGCCCTCTATTAATGAAAGCTAACACACCATACGCTTTCTTAACAACTCTATCCACCTGGGTGGCAACTTTCAGGGAACTGTGGACATGAACCCCAAGATCCCTCTGCTCCTCCACACTGCCAAGAATCTTTCCGTTAACCCTGTATTCTGCTTTCAAGTTTGTCCTACCAAAATGAATCACCTCACACTTTTCAGGGTTAAACTCCATCTGCCACTTCTCAGACCAGCTCTGCATCCTATCAATGTCCCTTTGTAACCTAGAACAGCCGTCTGCACTATCTACAACTCGACCCACCTTCGTATCGTCCGTGAACTTAATAATCCACCCTTCCACTCCTTCATCCAAATCATTTACAAAACTCACAAATAGAAGAGGACCCAGAACAGATCCTTGTGGTACACCACTCGTAACTGAGCACCATGTTGAATATTTTCCATCCACTACCACCCTTTTCCTCTAAGGGTCAGCCAATTCTGAATCCAGTCTGCCACATTTCTCCCTATCCCATGCCTCCTTGTCTTCTGCATAAGCCTACCATGGGGAACCTTATCAACGCCTTACTTAAATCCATGTATACCACATCCACTGCTCTACTTCATCCACATGTTTGGTCACCTGTTCAAAGAATTCAATAAGGTTTGTGAGGCATGATCTACCCCTCACAAATCCATGCTGACATACAACGTACAAGGCCATTTGGCCCATCCAGTCTGTTCTGGTTCTGTGAAGGAGCTATCAATCTGGAGATAAGAGTCTAACTAACTGCAAAACATAATGTGGAGGTGCTGGTGTTGGACTGGGGTGGACCAAGTCAGAAGTCACATGACACCAGGTTATAGTCCAACAGGTTTATTTGAAATCACAAGCTTTCAGAGCGCAGTCCCTTCGTCAGGTGCAGTGAGAGAGAAGACCACACAGACAGAGTTTATAGGCAGAGAGATTGAAAGATCATACAAATGGTATGAGTGGAGTGTCAACTAATAATTTTCTGCAGTTAACTTAAGCGTGTTAGATGGTGAGTAAAGTGTCAACAGCTAAATAACCAGCAAAGGGATGACCTATATCCAATTAAGTGAGGCAGAGAGATAATTACAAAAAGTTAAAAATCAGGTGGTGCTGGAGACAAACTGAATGACTGGAACAACATGGTAGGCACAGGAGTCACATACCAAAGATCTAACCAAAGTAATAAGTAATTCAAAACTGTATGAAACAAATTAAGCTAGAGAGATCATAACAAATTTATTAAGGTGATGCTGCCAAAACAGGACAGTAAGGAAGATTTTACAGATACAGGATAGTGTGGTGGTGTCAGGTATAGCGCAACATGAACCCAAGATCACGGTTGAGGCCGCCTTTTTGGGTACATAACTTGGCTATCAGTCTCTGGGCGATTCTGCATTGTTGTGTACCTTGAAGTCCACTGTGGAGGATACTTGCATGAAGATCGGAGGCTGAAAGCCCTTGTCTGCTGAGGTATTCCTCAACTGGGAAGGAACACTCCTGTCTGGCGACTTGTTGCATAGTATTCATTCATCTGTTGTTGTAGTATCTGCATGTTCTCGCCAGTATACCATGTTTCGGGGCATCCTTGCCTGCAGTGTACAAGACAGACAACGTTGGCGGAGTCACGTGAGTATCTGCCATGTACATGGTGGGTGGTGTTCCCACGTGTGATGCTAGTATCCGTGTTGATGATCTGACATCTCTTGCAGAGGTTGCCATGGCAGGGTTAGGTGATGTTGTAGTCAATGTTGTCCTGAAGGCTGGTTAGTTTGCTGCGCACAATGGTCTGTTTAAGGTTTGGCAGTTGTTTAAAGGTGAGAAGCAGAGGTGTAGGGAAGACCTTGGCAAGATGCTCACCATCATCAATGACATGTTGAAGGTTGTGGAAAAATACGGTGTAGTTTCTCTGCTCCAGGGATGTACTGGATGACAAAGGTACTGTATTCGTCATATCCTGTGTCTGTCTTCTGAGGAGGTCATTGGCAGTTTTTCGTTGTGATGCACCAGAACTGGCGATCGATGAGTTGAGCATCTTATCCCGTTCTTATGAGGGCATCTTCCAAAACCTTTAGAAGTCTGTTGCGTTCCACCTCATCTGTGTATGCGCAAGGGATGGCTTCTTTAACATGTTTAATGTGGAAGCTAGAGAAGTACAGCATCATGAGGTTATCCGTAGACATGCTGCAGAGTGAGGTACTGATGTGTCCATCCTTGATGGAGATGCGTGTGTCCAAGAATGAGACTAATTCTGAAGAGTAGTCAATGGCCAGTCTGCTGATGGGATGAAACTTGTTGATAACGATGTGTAGTTGTTTCAGTGATTCCTTGCCATGAGTCCAAAGAAAGAAGATGTCATCAGTGTATCTGGATGAAGAAGAACTGGTTGTCGAAGGTGAAGATGTTGTGGTCAAGGATGAAGTGGATGAGTTGTAGGATGGCGTCTGCAAATTGGCAGTTGCTGGTATTGAGGTTGTTGCAGTGTTACTGTCGTTGTGGGGGATGCTGATCTAGAGTGCCAAAACATCCATTATCTCCAGCACCACCTTATTTTTAAAAATTTTTGTAACTATCTCTCTGCCTCACTTAATTGGATTATAGGACTTCCTTTCGCTGGTTATTCAGCTGTTGACATTTTCCCCACCATCTAACACCCTTAGTCACCTGTAGAGACTTGCCTGACACTCCACTCGCACCAGTTGTAAAATCTTTCAATCACTATGCCTATAAACTCCGTCTGTGTGCTTTTCTCTCTCACTGCACCTGACAAAGGGATTGCGCTGTGAAAGCTTGTGATTTCAAATAAATCTGTTGGACTTTCACCTGGTGTCATGTGACTTCTGACTTTGACTGCAAAACCATTGTCAATTGTCGGAAAATCCCATCTGGTTTGATGACAACCTTTCTGGAAGGAAACTGCTATCCTTTATCAGGTCTGGCTTGCGTGTGACTCCAAACCCACAAAAATGTGGTTGATTTTTAACTGCCCTCTAGGCAATTAGAGATGGGCAATAAATACTGGCCCAGCCAGCAATGCCCACATCCTGTGAACAAATATATAAAAATTAAGTAAGTTCTAATTCCTATCCTTTGCCATAACCTGCAAAGGTTTTCATTGGCTGGACTCAAAGTGAAGGGCTAACCTGGAGTCTACAATTTTGAAGCATGTCGCACATTATTTCCAATTTTATAAATCTAGAAGAGGAAGTCAACTTAGCACAAAAGCCATACTGGGGACGAAACATTTTCAGGAAATTAAGGAATAGCTGTTCAGTCTGAAGCTAGGTGAAATCATCTTCTGTGGAATGAGATTGTATTTTTTTTTTTTGTGTATTCTACTTAGTCTTCAATTCCTATTTTCTGTTGTTAACAAAATGACTTTTTTTATATATACACTTAAGGGTGCCATTTCCTTTTGCAAATCTTCATTTGTGCTAAGTATGTTCATTTGAGTGGCACCCTTTAGGTCATAGCATCAGCAATAACTTTGCTTGGCATGATTGGTAGTGAATGTGTGTTACAGTAGCTGAGGAAACTTAATGAGCACACACTGACCAAGTAATTTAAACTCTTGTCTTTAATTTTAACTTTCTCTGCTCTTTTTCTCTTGGCAGGTGGGTCATACAAGGGCCACGTTGATGCTTTAGCATCTACAGTACAAGAGTTGGCTGCCCTTGAAAAGGAGGCTCAATCCTCTTTCTTACATTTTGGCTATCTTCCCAATCAACTTTTCAGACGCTTTTGAGTGTTGCATTAAACTGAGACACGTGCTACAAAGAGGCTGACAACTTACAATAGAAGTTTAAGAATGTTTATTACTACATAGCGACATCTCAGAATTGTTAGGACACTACTATCTGTATGTCAACAGGTTAGTTTTTTTGATGCTTAAACACATCTACACAACTTAATGGAATGGTGAACCATCAAGCATTGGAATTGCTCGAGTGAATAAAATAATCAAATCATAGTGGTTTGTGTGATTTTTGTAAAACGTATGTGAAAAGACAGCGTTATGTTTTTCCAACACTCTTTTTTTTCAATCTCATTTACAAAGGAAAAGAATCTTAATCATATTTTTCATGCCAATTGGGCAAGTTCCATGATCGCCATTAGAATCATGAAGAAAATGTTCCCAAAATTGTTAGCTACTTGCATTTCAGTTAATGGTTAATATTAGACTTGCTTTTAAATCAACCACTTGCTGTCTCTAGTCTGAATGGAATTGTATGATGCCTTTCTTGTCTTGTCTGTACCACTCCTCCTTCTGCCAACCCCGGGAACCTGTGGCATAAATTCGGCTTGCACTGATTTTAAATGAAAGCTTCCTTTCACTGCTGTCAGGACCTTTTGTTAGCCCCCATAATGTGGCATGAAGACAGCTGATGTTAGAATGCAAAATGCGCCATTCTGAAGCATTCTACACCATTGTATTCGATGAAGTTTGGGAAAACTTATTTTGGTGCAAATTTAATTTTTAATGTTGATAGCAGCCCATTAAGATTTAAGTGGAAAACCTGACCCTATTCTTCTCGCTGCAAGCCTCTCATAACTGCATCCTACAATACCTGCTGAAGAAGGCCTGCTCTAGACTGATGCCCACGCCCTCCAAATTGAGAGTTATAGGTAGACTACATTCTACAAAGTGATAAAAGAAATGCAAAAATTAATTGATTACTAAGCCATTGTCCTGTTTTCTTGCTAGAAGCATAGAAAATGTATCTACATTTGGTGGTCGTCTTTTGACCATAAGGATTGCATTCTTATAAATGGCAGCACATGAAGAGCAATGTAAATACACGTTAACCATGTCACTTTCCTGCACTAAATCACATTGGTTAGTAAAGTGTGGGGTACTATAGTGCCTTGATTAGCCCACAATAAGTAGAAATGAATGAGATCATTTAAAGGCTGTAACAAGATTAAAGTGAATACTCTTGCAAACAATGCTTTTTTGAGTTTATGTAGTCTGTATTTGAAGATTGTTTAGATTTAATATGTAGTAGCGTCATCACTTCTAGCACTGCCAACTTCTGGAAGGTAAAACAAGCAGAATTTTGCAGTATTAGCTTTTAAAATAATCTATTTTCTTTGTTCTATGTCAGTGATATCAATAGGATCAGGGGAGCATGGTTTGACTGTTTCTGGGGAAATTCTTGTGCTAAGCACATAGTATAGCAAATATGCAGTTAATTAACCTGATCAGTTTGGGGGTTTTTTTTTAGCTTTCCCCAAGTATTGGAAATGAGTCTAGAATAAACAAATGCAATGCAATCATAATTCACTAGAAGCTTAATTGAACGAGCTATTTCAAATTGTAACTGAGTGTTGTAGAAACTAGATATTTGTGCTGGAGGGACTCATTACCTGAGTTACATTGAATTCCTGCCAAGATCTATAGGTTATCAATGAAGTGTTCAGCACTCAGGTGACTACAGAGGTCACAACACATGATGTTTGACATCAGAAACAAATGCAGTCTACTTGGCTGGTGTCACTGGACACACTGCAACCTGAAGAGTTGAGTGTTAGATACTTACATGGTGGTCTTTATTGCTCTTGGGTGTTACCTTCAAACTCTACATCTACCACAAGGAGGTGGGCAATGCAGCAGAAAACAAGGAAATGGAACAAAATCTAATTTTACAATCCGTCCTCTCTGTCCCCACCTGTGATTACATCGAATTGACAGCACAATAGATTGTGTTATTTATATCGATCTACATGAAAGACTGCCAGTATCTCATATTAAGCTAAGCAAAAACATTAATATTCCTACGTTACCTACACCACTACCACCCTTCTCTTGCTAAAGGCCCATCTGTTTAATGGTAGGTTTCTAAACCAATTTTTTTTAATTTAGTGGGACCATTTTATATTTCTATCATTAGCAAAGAGAGTGACTGAGAAATTAGTTACCTGTAGCAACAAATATTTTAAGACCCACTGAAGCTGTGCACTGTAAATTAAGTTCCTCTCTTCCCAGAATCATACCAAATATTGAAGTTAAGGTATGCATAGCAACCCAATTTAACTGACCTTCAGAACAAGGTTGAGAGAAAGCAAACACCAGGTTTCTGAATGAACTAAGAATTATCTTTTATTGCAAGTAATTAGACTATAGTTACAAGTAAACAGATACAAACCATTGGTTTATAACAGTCTAACTAAAACTCTAATTCCCTAATAAACTCCCCTTGGGAAGACACACAACAATTAGGGAAAATAAAGTATTGGTGAAGATAGAGAATAACTGGCAAGTCAGTTTAGTGGTCTTTGCTTCATGCTTCCGAAACTGAGATGATCCATGTTTAGCTAGCCAGGCTCATGGTGTTCGTTTGTCTTCCTCTGGAAACTTCCACTTGTCTGTTAGAAGTATAGAGCAACTAATTCACTTGGGAAATGTCTGATTTATCAAGTTTAAATTTAGTTTATTGCTGCAGAGAACAGGCAGGTTCTGCTCAGGAGAACAACAGCACACCCTTCTGTGGCTTTCTCTAACTTGTTTCCAGTTCCAACCTGTTCAGTTTGCTGAGAAGCAATCAGCTCCTCTTGTGACCACATCCTCGGTTCCTGTTCAACTGAACATTGCAGGAACCCTAGTCATAAAAAAAGTTCACAAAAGGTATTGAATTCCTTGTTGTGAAATTATGCAGCCATCCTAGTAAATCCCTGTTTCTAAAAGCTATTCTTTCTCCTGGCAGTCCACAGTTTTTTAAAGACAAAGTTCTTACAATGTACTCATTAATGCTGTACAAATAATGCTGCTAGACTTTTAGATAGTGTGCTCACATTATCAAAGTTATGTCCATGGAACTTTTCTAAGCCCCCTTCTTGGCACTAGCCTCCCTATAAAGTAATTATCTGTGGTCACAATAGCTTTTTGGTTTACTGCTTCACAAGCATAGCCCAAATAAAATAGGCCCAGGCTTTAGATTGTTATAGCCATTTGGTTTTAACATTGCCTCATTTTTAAGGAGTGTTCCTCACATTCTGTTTCCATTCCCAATTTATCATTGTTGCCTCTTACCCCCACCACCCCTCATCCCCAGCATTACCTCTCTCCATCTTTGCCCCAGCATTGCCTCCCAGCTTGTACTCCTCCTCCAGCATGTCCCTGCCTAACTGCTCCCTTTGCCATTAAAGACATTTCCTTCTTCTGATTTAAGTTCTGAACTTGACCTGAAGGACTCCATCCAAAGGCAGAAGTTGGCCAGTGCAGAGATGCTGACGTTTCCTGCACTAATTTATGCTACTAAATGGAGCTTGATTAATCAAAAAGTACAATACGGTACAATACAGCACTGGAATAGGCTCTTCAGCCCAACAAGCCTGCACTGATTCTAATGCTTATTTAGACCAGCTACTTATTCCCCATATGCGTTTCCTCTTTTCACCTCCCGTTCATGTGTCTATCAAGATATGCCTTAGACCTTGCTAATGTACCTGCTTCCACCACTATGACTGGTTGTGTGTTCCAGGCACCCACCAGCCTCTCTGTGAAATTTTTTCCCCATGCTTCTCCCCTAAACTTTCCCCCTCTCACATTGAACCTGTGCACTCTGGTAGTTGACTTTTTGACCTGGGAAAAAGCATCTGACTATACACCCTATCTATGCCTCTCATAATTTTGTAGACCTCTATCGGGTCACTCTCATCCTCTGGCTTTCCAGTGAAAGTGAGGTGAGTATTTTTAAATTATTATTATTTCCAAGATACACTATTGTATTCTTTTCATATTTAGATTTGCACTTTATTCTATTATTAAGATTTCAACTAGGAATACAGTGCTACTTGTACAATATTTTAATTTGTACACCAGGACTGGAGGGTTTGAGTTTTCAGGACAGGCTGGGGCTTTTTTCCCTGGAGCATTGGAGGCTGAGGGGTGACATTATAGAGGTTTATAAAATCATGAGAGGCATCAATAGGGTGATTACGCAAGGTCTTTTTTCGAGGGTGAGGGTGTCCAAATCTAGCGGGTTTAAGATGAGAAGGAAAAGCTTTAAAAGGGGCCTGAGGAGTAACTTTTTCATGCAGAAGGTGGTGTATGTATAGAACGAGCTGCCAGAGGAAGTGGTAGAGACAGATACAATTACAACATTTAAAAGGCATCTGTATGGGTATATGATTAGGAAGGGATTAGAGGGATGTCGGCCAAATGCTGGCAAATAGGACTAGGTCAGATCGGAAGGTCTGGTCAGGGCAGCTGAGTTGGACCAAAGGGTCTGTTTCTGTGCTGTATGATTTTATAACTCTATTACTTTACCAGGCAAAAAAATGTCCAAAAGAACCTAATTCTTAGTTTAGCATTGCTTCTAATGGGAATCTATGATTCACTTAAAATCATTTCACTTACATTTGTGACTTTCAGAAATGCAACCACAACTTTGAGCAAGAGATTATTGTACATTATTCAGGCAAGAACAAAGATGAGATGCATTGTCTTTTAGTGAGTAGATTACAGAATATGGAATATAGCTGGCAGAAATGTGGCCATGGTGAGGTGTAAGAAACGGGACATGTACTTGCTGTCAGAATGGGAGGAACAAGAACTTTGGCACAGGGCAGATCTGAAGGGTGTTGCAAAAATAAGGCCATGGAAGGAGTAAATATGAGAAGTAGACTTGTAAAATTGTGGTGGTTCAGTGATGATGCTTTAGCAGGAATTGATATGTGATATGACATGGGTATAGAGTTTTTCAGTAAAGTAAGGTTCACAGTGCAGTTGACTATTTGAGCATTGAGATAAACTAAAGACATGAATGAAGGTTTCTGCAGAGGGATGTGCTCAGGTAGAGGAAGGGGGAAATAATGTCCCATGCTGGAAGAAAGTATCTGCGATTAGGAATGTATGAAGTTGGATTGAATAATACAATAACATTCTAAACAAGATGAAGAGAGATGGAGCAAGATGTTGTTTCTATCCAGAGTAAAGGATGAACAGTTGTTGTACAATTATCATATTGC